AATGCATTTTCCTCTGAATAAATTATATTCATTTTTTTTTCATTAAAATAGTTTTCTTTCCAAGTCATCTTCATTAGCTGGTGCTTATCTACTTAGCAATCTAAAGTACTTAACGCTTCTTAAACGCTATCAAAGATATTGACTCAAGTGTTACAAGTCATCTTCTTAACTACACATCTACTGATAATGTACAGCTATGATATGCATCATCATCATAATCATCTATTTATTAAACAAAGTAACTAATAATAACAAAACAAAATGTCCTTAGCAACTGGAAGAATTTTGTTATTATTAGTTACTTTGTTTAATAAATTAATTTCTTTTTTTTTTTGCTTTGAAAAAGTCCTTGAAAAAGTCCACATTGGACGAAACGCGTTGGCAACTATTACAGTTTTCCTATTGTCTTTTACATTTATAAATATTGTCTTTTTGTACAGGTTAACTCTGAGACATTTTTCATAAATCACTATGTAAAACTTCCAAAAGTATGCGGTTTTTACTCTGCCCCCACCCCTCCACTAGGACAAAATGTGACACAAGATCTATTTTTAGGAGCGGATGCGAGCGCGTACACCCGGGACAGGAACAAAAATTCTCCTCAGTCCCCGCAACCGATAGTATGCTTACCGCAACGGACATCGACATGGAAAATGGAACCGGTGAAAGAGTTCAAATACCGGGTTAATCAGTTGCGTTCAATTTCACACAAATATCATTGGGAAAGTCATGAATCATTTTCTTCTTTTCCCCACCGCCAGCTTAAATAGCAAGGTAGACAGGCCTCTTTAGCCTTGGTTGGTATCTCAAGAAAAAAAAAAAGAAAGAAAATTATGAATTCCGAACCGTTTAGAAACCAATTGATATCGCTCCCCAAAATGTCATGGCAGATAATTAAAAAAAAAAGTCTATGAAGAGACATAATCCACTATGCCCTGATTAAAATATATTATGGATATGAGAATAGTTTAACGGTTATTAGCACTGAAAGCGAAATCGTCATGCCGTGTTCAAATTCTAATCCAGACTGTTTTGCTCACTCCTCACGGATGCCCTTGGAAAAAGGACAAATCCATTTTCTTCCAGCTATGGGCGCTCTTGCCTTGAATGACAGTCGTTCTCTAAGAAAGAAAACACTGATTTCAAACCTCCGTAAATAATACACCAGGCTGTTCTCTTTAGACTTGGAAGGGTAGCCAGTCCTGAAGGAGCGTGATTTTGTATTCAAAACCTGACTGAAGAGAAATACCTCCTGTCAGGCTAATCTCGCCCTAGCCACGGTCAATGCTACTACGGTTGCAGTACATATGATATCTCAACAACGGTAACAGTTTTATTTGACTTGGGTGGTGTACTTCAACGTGGTATAATGTTGAGCCAGCCTCTCTGGCGAGATCAAATACGACTGAATAGTAAATTCGTGCCTCACTTGGCGTTCTATACTATGAGCTGTGTACCACATCTAAGCTACGCTTATTAAGCGTCTATTTGACTCGTCTGGATAGAAAATGAGATGTGTCCTCCGATCGGATTTTTTCAACCTTTACGACGAGGCTATGGGCGCGTGGTTGACCCGGCTTTCTGACCATGAGACTAGGATTTGAATACTACCATGGTCGATTTGTCAGGAACGTGACTTCCTGATGTTATCGGTTTGAAGGAGGCAATCCCAGCATGCGGTACCTTTGAAAAACATGCCACGCGAATCTTGTTAATGAGATTGGGTAGACGGAGTCACAATTCATCGTGACCGAGTATTTGAGCGTACTAACCTCAGACAACGGGAGGGAGCGCGCTCTCTCACATAGTTGCAGTTTTAGCCACGGGCTGTTGAACGAACACAAATGTGCCTGAGCAGGATTAGCTAGCCGCCCTTGTAGACAGGAATCCTCGGATTCGAGCGGCTGCACCATTTACTTACAACGAAGCTATCCTGAGGCAACTAGAGATCCTACCAGGATTTATTATTGGTGGACACAGTCTTAACAAATTAAGATCTGAAGATGTCATTATTGATTGCAAACACTGAAAGAAAAACTATAGGAGCTCCAAGACAAGATAGTAAAGAAAATCCAGAAAAAAAAAGAACTATAAGTTTTAAAGAGATGGTTGTCAGCAAGAGAAAACTTCAAGATACCAGTTACGAATTGGTGATGCCAAAATCCAACAAGTGATTTAATGGAACATCGACAAGATATTTTGTTGGTATTCTACTGCGACATCGGAAGGCGCATTGGAATAGCAAAAGATGCCTTCCAAAAACTAAACAAAGTGTTAAGAAACAGGAAACTTACGTTAGGAACAAACAAAAGGGTGTTGAACTGCTATGTAATACCATTCCTCTTATGTGGAAGTTAAATGCTTTATAGTTTCCTCATAGATGAAGAGAAAATTTGAGGCTACAGAGATTTAGTTCTACTGAAGGATGCTGAGATTATCTTGGTCGCAGCGTGTAAGCAAAGAGGAAGGTTTAAGGAAAACAATAATGTTGATTATACTTAAAATCAGAAAAAGACAGTTGAAATTTTTAGAATACATCATGAAGAAATATCGGGGAATTTGACATTCACATGACACGTCAAGGGCCAGAAGAAAACAACGAGAATGAGTTTGTGGGGAGAACAGAACAGCAAAGGATACGAATTTATGGGGAATCATGATCGCCAACGTCCTGAAGTAGTAGAAGATCGTGAAATATTCATGAAATATTTGTTATTGTAGTCGTACGTTGGAAATATATTTTCTTGGTACTCTACTTCAGTTTTATAAACATTATGCCTTTTTTACCATTTTATTAGATCGTGATAAATTAAGTCTTAATCAAACACTGGCGGAAAAAATATTTGTGGACGAAGAAAATTACAGCTACTACTGTCATAAGAAAAACGCATACGAAACTGAGGCTATGTAGAACAGGGTTTTTTTTTTAAAAAAATAAGACAGACTTCGACCGAGAACGGCAAATCCTAGCAGAAATTTTGTTACTGTTTTTGTTTGTTACATTTTCTTATCCTTTCTTATTTGTTACAAAATTATGGGACGATACGCTCTTCGGCCGCTAGAGCAAACAGCACGAAATTGGAGTTACAGAACTAACTTCCGACGGGTCTTGAACTAACATTTCTCAGCTATTGCTTAAACCCTCTTTTTTAGTGTTCCTCAACCGGGGTTCTTCGGGACCATAGCGTTCAGCAAGAGGTCGCTAGGAGTTCCACGAGAAACAGTGATAAAATTTTAGTAATTTTTGTTTAATCTTATATTCGTAATTTTACTATACACGCACGGCATAGTGGTAAAAAATATATAGTTATCCTTATAAAGGTTTCAAGGCCGAAAGTATGGGCCACCTCGTGCGAATCGAAGTCACTATTCAGTAATAATTGATCTAGCGAGACAAGCTTGGTAACTATTGCAGCACGTCTAAATTATTTTCTAACGGTAGCTTAGATGTGGAACGAGGCCGAAAGAGAGGAACACCCAGTGAGGATCGAACTCACTATTCAGCCGTAATTGATCTCGCGAGACAAGCTTGGTAACACGAAGATCCCCGGTGAACTACGATAAAAAAAAATGATAGATAATAATAATGGTATATAAAAAATTTATGCAGAGTTTCCCTGAAACATTAAAAATTATTTCAAGTTTTTCTTTCTTTTTTTTTTTTAAGCGTTTCACCCCAAGCAAGACGGGAAGCCACTAGCACCCAAGGGGTTACAGAGAGTTGGAGCGAGAGCAAAGGAGTGATAGTGGAAAGGATGAAGAGAAGGATAGGGGATAGATCAGAGCATCTGGAGACGTCGATTGACGTTACATTTGAATAGTTGGAGATTATAGCTATCAGGGAAACAGGAAGAAGGGGAGTTACACAGGCGAGAGGTGCGAGACATGAAGCTATTGGAGTAGAAGAGACGGCTACATTTAGGAGTTTCGACAGTGAAAGGGTGTGAGCGAGATTTCAGCCTAGTAGAACGCTTAAATTCATGAAGTCTGGGAACCAGCGAAAGCAGTTCATCGGAGCAGTTACCATGAAAGTATTTGTAAAAAAGACAGAGGGTGGCGACGGCACGTCTATGAGAGAGCCACTGTAGACGAGATGCCAAATCAGGGACAGTTACGTTACATATCCGTCTCTGGATTTTATCAAGAACCTTGAGACAAATATTAGGGGCTACAGACCATATATGGCAGCAATACTCCATGCAAGGGCGAATGGTTGATTTGTAGATTTGAAGCACAGGGAGCCAATTTTCCTTGCGGTGGACGAAGCTATTGACTCAATGTATTTTGTTCCATCTCAGGTCAGCAGACAATGTGAGACCGAGTAGTCGCAAAGGGGAGCTGTCTAGAAGTTGAGCGTCAGACATTCTAATGGGGGGGATGATTCTCTGTAATGAGTAATAGAGAGCAGTTTTATTTTTGAGGTGTAAAAAATCAACCAGCCAATTCCTGCCCCAGTTCACAACAAGGGTGAAATGGTTGAGAAATGAACACTGCTCGAGGCTGTTGGGACTTACGCCGAATGCAAGTCGATAGTCCTTATATCACCAACTCTTTAAATCAGGGGTTTTCAACCTATTATGCCCGATTCGCCCTTTTCACTATTCGTTCCGATGTTATTCTCTGTCTTTCCAAGATTGTCTGACTCGAAAGGTGCATTCCAAAATAATATGCATATATTATTGAAAGTTTCCATTCTTTTCCCTATTAGTTCCTCTATATTTATATGAATTATTTTTGTAGTGGCAAAACCACACACGAGAGCTAGCGGAAAGAAAACCCAGCGTGACCCCTCAGTTGCGCTGACCAATTCACATTGCAGGTTATGTCGCCTTTGAGAGTTCGAAAGTTAACATTTTAAGTTTACCAATTACCCCCCCTCCCACCTCCGAAATTCCCCAGTAGGGATGAATTCCCCCATTGGTTGAGAACCCCCGCTAAAATATGCTGTAAAAGGTTGTTGTAGTCATAGTGAAAATGCTTCATTGAAACAGGTTCAAAACGAGGGTCGATACGAAAGAGTTATTAAAAGAAAGTAACGTTACGAAGAAGAAGAAGAAGAAGAAGAAGAAGAAGAAGAAGAAGAAGAAGAAGAAGACGAAGACGAGGAAGCAAACAACAGCAACAACAACACTGAAAGCAAATGAAAGGTGGACGGACAGTAGTGTACTGGACAT